TGTGTGTATGTGTGTGTGCATGTGTGTGTGCATGTGTGTGTATGTGTGTGTGCATGTGTGTATGCATGTGTGTGTGTATGTGTGTGTGTATGTGTGTGTATGTGTATGTGTGTATGTGTGTGTGTGTGTGTTGACTCACATGTGTCTAGGCACCACTTGCATGCACAGTGCCTGTGGAGACCAAAGGGTGTTAGATACTTTGGAATTGGAGTCACAGATGATTATGAGCCATCATTTGGGTTCTGGGAATTGAACCCTGGCCCCCTGTAAGAGTAGCCAGTATGCTGTACTCTTGAGAATATCATGGAGGGTCCCCCTTGGCACTCTTCCTTGGTGTTAAGAATGCCCTGGTAACCAGGACAGGCACAGCTTATCTTCCTGGAGCTTTATGGTTTAGTGGATTAGACAAACAAGTAAACATACAACCTCACTTTGTAACTGACTGGGAAGGAAATGAGGTACCATGAGGGGACAGGCAGCCTTGAAGTAGGTGCTCACTACTGTGTGTGGTGGCACACACCTTTAATCCCAGCACTTGGGAGGCAGAGGCAGGTGGATCTCTGTGAGTTCGAGGCTAGCCTGGTCTACAAAGTGAGTTCCAGGAAAGGCGCAAAGCTGCACAGAGAAACCCTGTCTCGAAAAACCAAAAAAAAAAAAAAAAATTAAATTTATTTACTTTAATTTCACGTACATTGGTGTTTTGCCATGGGTGTTGGTTGAGTCTCAGAAACTGGAGTTACAGACAGTTGTGAACTGCCATGTGGGTGCTGGGAATTGAACTAGGGTCCTCTGGAAGAGCAGTCAGTGCTCTTAACCACTAAGCCATCTCTCCAGCCTGCAAGTATTCTTAACTCCTAACTGCCAAGCCATCTCTCCAGCCCCGTCATCTCTATCTTAAGGAGCCCATGACTCCAGAGAGCTGTATACCTCCCCACCTCATTCTAAAAGTCCCTGCCCTACATACCCTCAACCTCAGGCCGGAGTGACTGGGCCTTAGTGCCTTCAGAACAAATGTCGGCAGCTGATGTTTATGGCCTCATCTTGAAGACGGCACAGAGGGAGGGTGCCTCTGAGGGAGCGGCTCAGCAGGAGACTCGGATGCCATCGGTGGTGTGACTGGGAGGGTACAGAGCGTGGTAAAAAGAAGGGAGAGCAGAGGAAAGAGGACAGGTTCCATCCGTCTGTTTCCTGTGACTATCAGTGAACACCACAAGCAGGGAAATTTAAAAATGCTAGAGCTTTATTCAGCTCACGGTTTTGGAGCCTGGGAAGTCCAACATCCGGGGAGCCCATTTGGTGAGGGCTTTCTTGCTGGTGGACAGTCTACAGGTAGCATGAGGCATCACACAGTGAGAAATGAGCATACCCAAGAGACACTCAAGGTGGCTTTCATAACAGCCACTTCAGATTGCCACGAACCCACTAATTCAGAGTCCTCCTGACCCACCACCCCTCTGAGGGGCAACCCCTGGTCACGAGTATTGATACTTCACAGTGGGGACTAAATGTCAACATGAATTTTGGTAGGAACATTCAAGCCATAGGAGGAGGCCGGAGGAGAGGGTAAGGGGGCAGAAGCAGAAGGCTGCTAACACTACGTAGGGAGTGGCCCACAGATCTGAGTGAAGTCACTCCGTGGTTGAGGGTGACTGAGGTCGGGGCAAGGCTGCAGCTAAATATGAAGCAATGGCCAACCGAAGAGAAGACTTCATGTGAATAGGGGAAACAGAGGCAGACACTGTGACCTGCGTGGCTGCAATTGAGCAAGGGCTTTTTGCCCTCACAGATGGCTTTGGAGATGCCCATTCATACCCAGTTGAGTCCTCAAGCCCAAAGGGACTAAGAATTTTCTCCAGGTCACCCAGCAAGGGGAAGCAGACACCAGGTCCAAAGGCAGGTTCTACCATCTCCCCACCATTCCACATTGACGGGTCTTGAGTCTTCAAAACCCGGGCATCATTGTTTCCACTTTACAGGTCAGTAGAGATGTGAGGAGGTAGCACCTTGCTCAGGGACACCCAGGTGCTTAAGAAGTTGAAGAGTGAATTGTAGCTGTAGCTCAGTGGTAGAGCACTTGCTTTGCATGCATGAGGCCCTAAGTTCAATCCCCAGTACTGCCAAAAAAGAAAGGGAAGAATGTGTCTTGAGACAGGGTCTTACCACAAAGCACACGTGGATCTGGAACTCACTATGTAAACCAGGCTGGCCTCAACCTCACAGAGACCCACCTGCCTCTGTCTCTTGAGTGCTGGGATTAAAGGTGTGCATCCCCATACCCAGCCTAGTAGCTTCCTGGAATTAAAAAAAAAAAAAAAAAAGTGGGGGCAGGGAGTGTAACTCAGGGCTAGAGTTCATGCCTAGTATGCCCAAAGTTCTGGATCCATCTCCAGGACTGAAAAAAAAAAAATACCACCAAGGTTTGTGCACTGTTACATATTGACTTCCTAAGTCAGTGAATGCTTGTGGTATTCAGAAAGTTCATGCAGCAGAACCATACTCGCCATTCACAAGGTGACATGATGTTTTTAATATTAATTCATGGTGACCTATGAGTAGAAAGGCCCAGAAATGTGACCAATGAAAAAATGTCAGCTGATGACAGTGTCTTCCTTCAGCCTTGAGTTTCTGGTGCTCTGAATACACTTATTGGCTTCCCTAACCTGTCACATGTAGTCCTTCCGTGAAAGTCAATGTCAGAGGGCTCTGTTATGCTCCCTGTGATGAACCAGGCTGGCCTGTGACTCCAGGTCTGTCCCACTGATGTTCTCCGGGGCTCTTCTGTCAGCATCCTGGGCCTGGGCCGCACTATTCCGGGTCCCATAAGCACCACCTAAAGAAGAGTCCAGGTTCCAGTCTCACGGGGACGCTAGGGGACTCTGTTAGAGGTGTGGGTCAGCCAGTGAAAGAGGGCAGTTCTTAGCATGACTGTGACATCTCTGCTTCCTTATCTAACCTTAAGATGGTCATCCTGCTGAGCAGACCTCTCCCATGTCCCTGCTAGACCTGTTCTCAGAGCCTGTACTTCCGCCATCTCTTCCTCAGTCAGCGGCTGTTCTGAGGAACCTAGGGGCCTGAGGATCTAGCTAGACGCTGCAGACTTCTCTTCACTCCACTGCTCTCCAGGGGTATGAATCTCTGGTTAGGTCCTTAGCCTGCCTGAGAACTCAGTTTTCACTCCCAACATGTCTACAATATCCACCTGTGAATTGTTGCAAACTTAAAGGTACGAAGGAGAGTTTGCTCTTACTAAATATTGCCTTTTGCTGACAAGGCTCCTGTGGTGCCTGGCTGTTTTCAAACAGCACAATTCTCTGCTGAGGACTGGGACCTTGGTGCCCCATGCTGGCATAGTGAAGCCCCTGGAGTTCCCAACACACCGACCGGTGCTCAGCCTCATGTGTTACCTATGGACAAATATGGTTGTAAATCCGGTGCTGATGGAGGTACTCGGAAGGACACACCCCTGGCGTGTGGAGCGTTTGGTTTGTGTAGTGGGGACTTCCTAGGGGAAATCTAGTGAGGTGTGAAAATCACCCCACCTTTAGGGATTCATGGACACATGCAAAGACCTATGTACCTGTGTGCTCATGCCACTAATGCCTATGACTCCAGCCTCAGTGTCCAACAGTAGCAACTGGCTTAATCAAGCATGGTAGTATCCTGCTTTAAAAAAGGATGCTGGGCCTGGCAGACAGCTCAGCTGGTAAAGATGCCTGGCATCAAGCTAGATCTCCCAGACCCACATGGAAAGAAAGAACCAACTTCCACACGTCCTCTGGCCTTCACATGCCAAAACACAGGCATAAAAATAAACACAATGTAATAAAAAGTTACCCATTTTTAAAGATTTATTTGTATTACCTTTTATTATGTGTAGGAGGAGATGTATGTGCACACGGGTGCGGGTGCCTGCCAAGGCATCAGGTCCTCCTGGAGCAGGAGTTACAGGCCGCTGGGAGGCACCCAATATGTGCCCTGGGAACACAACTTGGGTGCTTTGTAAAACAGTGCATGTTTCTTAGCCCCTGGGCCATCTCTTCAGCCCTAAACATTATTTAATTAAAAGTAAATAAAATAAAAAGGAGAGTGGAAAGTGAATGTGGAGGCTGTTGACTCCAGGACTTGGGAGTCTGAGGCAGGAAGCCAGCCTTGGCTACTGAGTAAAGATGCCAAAAACAAAACAACAAAACCCAACCAAACAAGACCAACAAACAACAACAAACAGAACCAAAGCTGGACTTTAATCCCAGCATTCGGGAAGCAGGAGCAGGCAGATCTCTGAGTTCAAGGCCAGCCTGGTCTACACAGCAGTTCCAAGACAGCCGGGGCTACACAGAGAAACCCTGTCTCAAAAACAATGAAACAAAACCAAACGGAAACAAAAAACCAGGTTTGGTAGCAGAAGGCCTGTAATCCCAGCACTTAGGAGGCACAGACAAGAGGTCCACTATAAATTCGAGGCCAACACAGTGAGTTCTAGGTCAGCCAGGGCTACACAGAGAAACCCTGCCTCGACAAAATAAAAAGGCTGAGGCAGGAGGATTGCCAAGTGTTCGAAATCAGCCTCGATTACAGAGGGAGAACGTCTCAAAAAGGATGGGAGTAGCCGGACTGTGGTGGCACTCGTCTTTAATCCGAGTATTCTGGGCGGATCTCTGTGAGTTCGAGGACAGCTTGGTCTACAGAGCGAGTTACAGGACGGCCAGAGCTATGCAGAGAAACCCTGTCTTGAAAAAAACAAAACAGACAAAAAAGAGGATCAGGAGCGGTGGCGATGTGGGTAGCGATTCCAAGTCTGGGAATTCTCCGTTCTGATCTGGATGAGCGTTGAAGATCATCTTCTCGCTCTGTTCACCCAAACAAGGAAGAAAAGGCCAGGCATCGACGGGACGCGCGTAAGTTGGGGCGTTCTACACTCTTCCTTCTGCCTTTGCTCCCATCACCCGGAGCTTCCAGGGGCGCCGGGCTCGGGGCGGCCCCGCGGGCCTCTTGCCGGTTGGGTAGCGCCCAGGGCGCGTGGGCGGCACCAGGGTCAGCTGTTCCGCGTCCGCCCCGCCCAGTGCCCGGGTCCTATAAGTGTGGCCCCAGCCTCGGAGCCCTGCGTGCGGAGTGGCCGGGCGGTGCGGAGCATGGCCTGGAACACCAACCTCCGGGTGCGGCTGCCCGTCACCTGCCTGATCCTGCAGGTGGCGATGGTGGTTCTCTTCGGCGTGTTCGTGCGCTACGATATACAGGCGGATGCCCACTGGTGGTTGGAGAAGAAGCTTAAGAACATCTCCAGCAACATTGAGAACGACTTTTACTATCGCTACCCGAGTAAGTCCTATGGCCAGCAGGCTCACCTGCAGAGTCTCCGGGTGGTTCCCATTGGGCTGCCGCCCGACTGCCCTCCGCTTTAGGTCTGCCCCTGACTCTGAAGCAGGATGGAGATGGAGGGGCGATACTGCCCCACAGTCCCCAGCTGGTCCCAGAGTAGGCGCTGCACCAGGGTACTCTTCGACCTCAGCTAGTCCCTGGAGAAATAGTCAGACGTGCTCACACTGGCTGTGAAAGTCTGGTAGGGGCACTCACCTGGGAGAGGTGGGCTGTCTTTGTTATTGTTGTTTGGTTGGTTAGGGTTGTTCTTTTCTTTTTATTTAACTTTCATCTCTCCCAGCCATCAGACGCCTCCTATGTCCCTGTCCTACCTTGGTCCCCAAAAGCCAGAGTCCCACCTCCATCACCCAACCAGCAGGTGACCTGGCTCCCATACACTTCAGTAGGAAGTAGATCCGAAGTCAGCGATCTTAAGGATGGCATGATGGCCCTCCACTGTTGCTATGGAGACAGGTGTGTGGGACCACAGGTGGTATTGGGCCAGAGGTCATAACACCCACTCTCCTTTGAGTTTGGAGAAAATCCCCTGCCCTGGGATTTTCTGTATCCTATGGTTAAGAATATGGCTGTAGGGCTGGAGAGATAGCTCAACAGCTAAGAGCATTGGAGGACGGGAGTTTGATTCCTAGCACTTACGTGGTGACTCACAACCATCTATAACTCCAGTTCCAGGGAGGGAATCTGATACACTCCCCTGCCTTCTGTGGGCACCAGGCACACACATGGCACACAGGCACTCATGCAGGCAAAGCACGCATACATGTTTTTAAAAAAAGAAGAAGACGACGGCAAAGAAGGAGGAGGAGGAGGAGGAGGAGGAGGAGGAGGAGGAGAAGAAGAAGAAGAAGAAGAAGAAGAAGAAGAAGAAGAAGAAGAAGAAGATGGCCCTGAAATGACAGACATCTTTTCTGACATGGCTCTGCTGCTTTGGGGTGGGTGCTCTCAGGCAGATGCCAATCATAAAGAACCCTAACTTCCTTCTCTACTGACTAGGGGTGATGGTGGGACCCACCACACAGGAGGGGTGTGAAGCGGTGTGAAGTACTGGGAGGGTAAGCCTCACGCTATAACAAAGCCGTCAATCACAAGAGCATTAAACACAGGCACCTGAGGACTGTAGGCATCTCTGAGAGCATAAAGAGCCAGCCCAAGGTCACTCCAGGCAGCCTAACCGTGGACTGCCAGCCCAGGACTCTGCCAATGTCCTTGTGCTTTCTAAATGTCCCCTCTGTCTACCAGCAGCCAAGGACAGTTCTTCTAACAGTTGGTGCTCATGTGGTCATGGGCCATTGCTTTTCGAAGGGACCCTGAAGCTTTTCTCCAAAGGCTGCTTAGGTCAACCTCTGTTCCCTCTGCAGCTTGCATGCTCAGCAGCAGGGCACCTCCGTGTCTGGAAGTCAAGGGGCCCCACTCAGGGCTGTGTGCTTCCAAAGAGATCCTGAAGCTGTGGCTTCAGAATCCACAGTGCGAATCCACCCTTCATGTTGCCAAACCCCTTCCTCTTCTGCGTGGGGACTTGGCAGGCAAATGGGGAAGCGGGCGAGCTGAGGGTTCATCCTTGGCTTACTCCATTTCATCTCCAGCTGTCTTGTTCACACCTGGGCACCAGAGCCACCCCACAGAGAAGTGTGAGGGCAAGGCTTCCCTTTCACGGGCGCTTGCAGCTCTTTTATCTTGTCCTGGAGGTGTAGGGCATCAAGACCCCACAATGGAAGCTACAGAACCTCGTGCCCCCTAAGAAGGGATGCAGTCCTCAGTCTCCCCAACTCTATACTGTCCCTCTTCACTGGGCCACCTGTCTTCTTTCCCATCACTCCATAATTACTTATCTACAGGGTCACACAGGGATGCTGTCAGCCATAAGTGGGGAGCAAGATGTAAACCCTGACTATTCCAGTGAATTAGGATTTATGGTCGCTCTGGATAAACAAGTTGTATCTCTTCTGGTCCTCAAGGACTCCTAGATTTATTGAGAACAGAACACTGCATCCCATGACACCCAAGGCCAGTGGTACTGGTGGTCTGAGCAAGCAGTCCCTCCCTGACAATGGGAAGTCCTGGTTGCTAAAGAGAGAACGGGCAGCCGAGGGACCTCTGAAAGGGAAGCCTGGGAAGAGGGGTGAG